TGTTTAACAATTCGGTACACAATTATAGTAAAAATTGGTATTATCAACAGTCATGTTTTTGGCGCAATACATGTGAAACATAAATTATAGTAGAAGAAGAAACTAAAGTAAATCTATAGAGATGTTCGGAAGAAGAAACAGAGAGCAAGGGAGATCGGCATATTTATACGATAAAGAATCTATGAAATGAACAGTTTTCGCACACAAGGATATTTTCAGTTTAGTGTGCAACTTCAATCGATGATGCTCGAAACGGGCAGTTGAGAAATGCACTTGTGAATTTATTACGGACTCAATCGCGATAACCCAATGATTGCGGCCGCTTGTACCCGCAGTGCAGAAAAATACCGAAGCGTGCTCTCGAGGTCGAGCACGTACACGAGCCGTAAAGTAGCTTCATTTACTTTTCATTAGCATAAGAAAACTCCCCCCCGCCCTCCCCGCCGATGTTAGAGCAGTCGGAGAGGAGAGCAATTGCAACGGATCGCTTATGAGATCGCAAGAAAGGCGAGATACCGGACGGCCTCAGTCGTGAGAGACTCGAATCTGTCAGAGAGGAGACGATCCGCGAGATAGGGCTCTTTGTTATCGCGATGATAACAGATCACTCAGTGTGCTCACGCTGCGAGCGCTTTTAAATATGAGATCATTGCGTTAACCGAGCGCAATTGGGTTTAGCGTGACGTAGAATTTGCATCGACTCAAGATCAATCGATCTGATTCGGCCGAGTATCCACGGTTCAAATTGCGACAGCGAGATTAAAGCATGTCGTCAGCAAATACGAGAGCACGCTACAATATTATTCACTATCCGATCCGAACGCGCGACTTAATGCGACCTCCTTTATAATTTTATCGATGATCGCACGCCAAGACGAGAATATTTAAAAAATAAAGGATATTTACGCGGTGGGTACCATACACATAGTATAACTTATCCGCCCATAATATATATATATATATATATATTTCGCACCAAGAAAACATTTTCTTCAGAGAACTTTTTCATATAAAAAAATTTATATCTTCCCAGATCACTCCCTCCGTAATTTTACACGAAAACAATCACTTGTTCCACTTAAACAAAAGGATCTGGATTTAGGTAAATATGTTATTAGTACTCACCGTATATAAATATCTTTATATTTTTAAAATATCTTTTCTCTTAGCGTTTCTCTCTATTATTGGTACTAATTATGTAGTATTATATTAACATTTATCACACATTAAAAGTTACCAAGAGCAATCATGTTTGAAATTTAATTTAACGCAGGATATAATGTAAATTTGAATATGACAGAAAGAAACAATAGGACAAGTTGCGCCAAAGTGCTGCAGATCTGACTTGCACTTTGCGCGCAAGGATAAGGTATCATTGTAACGTAATTGATTGTACAGGAAATTGTACATCGATTCAGACAGAAAAGGTGAGCCGCCGAGTACATGCGATCAAAATATCCGTGATAAGGATCTGATCTAGAGGCGATATAACTAATCTCGCTGCAACTCGCATCAACTTAGCTCTACGCGTATCCCAGATACGAGGTGCAGGGTTTCGTCAAGCAAGCGCAGGTCCGAGTCGAGGCCGAGGCGTTGTCGCGCCTTCTCGCTTCCGCTACCACGTAGCGAAGGCGAGCACGTGGCACTGACCTCGCCCGAGCAACGACGAGTAATACACCGAGCACAGCTCGTACATCGTCCATATCTGCGATTTTAAAAGTCGTGGAGATCTCAGCGGGGACTCATTGGAAAGCTGATATTTTCGCGCGTCAGAACAACGACGCACGGTCGTTCCCCTGACTTCTCGTTCGTGTTTGACCGATAAAACACGATGCGAATGCGACGTCACCGACCGATGACGATTTGAAGTATCAAGAGAAAAATCAGATATAGGAATTACAACACGTTCATAGACGAAACTAAAAAATCTCCCGTGGAAAAACCGCACCGTCGGTCGCGACCGATCTTCGTGCGTTGTATTAATTACGAAATTGTAACAGATGGATTAAAATACGCAACCTTATGCCGAGTGCATGGCATCAAATACCTGTCTCAGCAGGGTCTGATGCAGCAAATTAAAGCGAATTAAATAATCCCAGCGAGAATCATCTTGTCTTCACGAGCTGCCGAGATATTAATTGCGAATGTTATAACAGATCGATGTAGGATTGCAGCGCTCCCGCGTACGCTGTACGTCTTAAACACGCTCTCGCACGCGATTTTTTGTCTTTGCACGTAATAAGCGTCCTGATTGAGACGTGGTACGAAGGCCCGGTAATAAATAACGCGCTCTTGACTCCGCGCGGCTCGACAAAAATCACACGGAGATCTCCCAGGCCGCGGTCGAGAATGATTTACGATTCTCTAAACAAATCCGTCTTCGGAGTAACGAGGCTTGCTAAATCGCGGAAGTGCAAAGACCGCTCTTCGCTCGATTGATGGGCAATTTGTCGATAATCATCGCGTTGACGCATCGACACACGTCGCGATCGCATCGGTGATTTTTACATTCGGATTTGGACGAGCAGACAAGCCGCGAGAGCACCGCGTATTGTATCGTATTGTATCGTACTCCAATTTCGCGAATTGTAATTGTAGCCGGTCTCTTCTCGAAGTAATCGTTAAGATTACTCGCGCGCCTTACGTCCAGCCGCGGTGTGACGTTGATGCACGATCGAGAAGGTGACCCGAGTACTCGGAGCGTTGTGAATTAGACCGGCGGCGCCCTCGCAGTTAGCCGTGAAGCAATCCAAGCCGCGGAGCACTCGCGGGAGGATCTCGCCGCGGCTTTCGAAACCCGCGGACGAATTATGTCCGACGACCAAGGATAATGATCTCGGGTGCAGTAATGCCTCATCTAGGACAACGACTGGCCGGCAAGGTGCGGTCGGCGATGAATCAAAGCGTAGCTTTGCTCCGCGGACCTGCACGACCGCCACCGCCGGGAGAAAAATTCACCCGAACGATCTCTTGCACGTGAGCACCGAACGACGGACTGCAAACGCCGAGAAACCCCAGCGTGACGAAAAGCCGACGTGAATGATTCGCCTCGCTCGCTATTGCGATCGCCGTCGCGTTTTCAGAGCGCTGCGAGTCCCGTCTTCGCGAGCCGCGGCGCAGGATAGACGACCGGCCGTTTCTCGCGCGACATGCAATCTGCAGCGTGCAAGGTTTCGCTGACCCAGTTCAGACGTTACTTCCCAGGAAGGTATGAAAATAGTGCGCATTGAATAAAAGACGTCCCTGGAGGACTTGGTTTTCTCACATCCGCGAGCGGACGCGCGATCCGCTTCAATGCGAGTCACGACGTGTGACTCACGCGGCGAATGGAACAGCCCGGTCGAAAAAGTCCGGTCTTAAAGTTCGCGCGTTTTCCGGTTACGACGATGATCAACCGCGGAAGGATCCGCTGAATTACGATCCTTGAACCTCGTTGACGACACGGGCATTGCGCTCAACTGTACGATATCGCGACGCCTCGTCCACCACGCGCCGAATCGATCGTGTGGAACACACGTGTGTGATGAACACAAGTGTTCATAATTATCGCGGCCGCGGTCGCGTTCGACGCTTCGCCGATCACTCCGCTATAATTCTCCGTTAATCGGAGACGCTCACGCTAAGAGGCGTGAGTGTCCGCTGGTCGGCAGGGGAAAAAGGACGAAATCGGGGATTCGTTCGAGGCTACATGCCGCCGGGTTTTCCTTTCGAATTTGCGTGTCGCTGGTTGAACGACACACACACACACACACACATATACACAACTCTCGGACTCTCTTGTCTCTGAATTTAATAAATTAGTACATAATTCGCGATAAATGAATCTCGACACGCCGATCGGCAATAAGAAGGAAAAGCGACCGCGCACCGCCCAATCGAGCGACCCGAAGATTAATTGTGTGAAGTTATTATATATCAGCGCGGTAGGGCGATCGGTCGTAAACTGAAACGATCGTGCGCGTAAAGTTTCGATTCCACCGAAAGTGTCCTGTACCTTTTCGCACGTGTAAGGAAAAAGATTCTTCAACTTTCCTATCCATCGCCGCCTCGTGTACCGTCATGATTTATACGTAAGTCAACGGCAAAACGGGTATGAAAAGTTCTGATTGGGCTAAAGTGATGAAAATTAACGTTGAGTAAATTACGTGATTACATACAACGATTGTTTCAATTACTTGGAACTCATGATTACCCTGGGATGATTCGTTATATATTAATCGTTAATTTTATCAATCGTTTAAATTGTTCACGATTACATACACGACGACTAATTAATTTTTACTGCTGATTTACCGGTTATTCTAGCCTCTATCAAAACTCCTGTTTCTCTCTATTCCAGTCAACGAAGATTTTAATTGATTAACGCCCAACGCAGATAACTGTGAATTTTTATAAGTACGATTTGACCGCAAGATCTCACGAATGAAAACTGCAGTTTAAAAAAAAGTGAGACAAAAGGTCTGCTAAAAGTAATCCCTAAGACTGACGCAGAGAGAAAGCTTTCAAGAAAAGTAAAATTACTTAATTATTAATTGAATAATAATGAAATTAATAACAGCTATATACAACCTAATAATTATTGAATAATATTATTAAATAATGAAGAAATAATGAAAAATACCCTCAGGAAACATTTTCAAGGGTACCTTGCCAAAGCGCAAAAAAATTCTGTCACCATCAAACCCGTCTCTTTAAATATTTCTCGCCAAATAACCCGTTTTTCTGAATATTTCTCGCCGAAAAACTCGACTTGGTCGCTCGTTATCATTCATAGTGCTCCGTGGCAAAAGATCACGGGAGCAGCCCGTAAACGTTAATGCCGCGAAATTTCACGGTCCTCCACGAGTACACCCGCGTTGTACGTCCGGTGACGTACAATACATATATATATATATATATATATACACAAGCTGTACAGAATCCCCTCTTTCAGAAGAGGTGCTTTCATGCGCGCGTATAAAGCCGGTGAAAGCGCCAGACGGCCCTCCAGACTACCGCACAGTCCGACAGCGACAGGAGCTCTGCCGGCGTGTACCGTGCGGACGGACGGACAGACGGACTTGGACTTAGATTGAACACCCTGGCAGGCTGTTCCAACGCACACGACTGTTCTCTCGCAGGCATCTCGAGACGCGGAGCAGTTCGGAGGGAATTAATTGCGCCACGTGTACAGCGCCCGTTTCCCGCCCACGTTCGCGTGTTCGCGAGTCGCCGTCGAATTCAGTCGCAAAAACAGATCTGTGATAGATCGTCGTAGCACGGGTCAGAAGTGATCGTGAAGATGCATCCCGTGGGAATGCTGGCAGTCCTGCTGCTGATCGGTACCGAGGTTTTGGGATACCCGCCGCAGGAGAGAATAATGCCAGGTATTTCGAAGTCTTTACGCTGACGCCTGCTGACTCTTCTCGCTTCTCGCTCATCGTCTTTTCATTTCTGTTCCCTTGTTTCCTCAATTGAGATTTGGCTGTTAGTTACATCTGCAATTCTTTCTTCTGATTACCGCGAGTGAAGTTAACTGTAATTAAGCCGGTATTGTGGGTAAGAACGAGTGTGAGAAAATCGCACGAGTGCTGTACGTGTACGACGCGAGTTTCGGTGTCGATCGAGAATAAGAAACACGTTCGCTCGTTGCTTTACATCGGCGAAAAATTCAATTAACGTCCCGAGCAATTAATTCCGCTCGGTGTTGAGTTCGATAATAATTGATTAAAATTTTAGCCGACTGAAATAATCAAACTCATCGTCGAGTATACCATCGAGTGATTGCGTATAATTGTTGATCGTTTTACTCGATTATTTTAATTTGACTGCTTATATACTTATTAATAATTAATTTCCTCGAACGAGTGTATTATTCATGATTACGTACGCGGCGACTGATTCATTTTTTGTTGACTATCAATCCGCCGAAATTATTTTAGTCGACTGAAATTTTAATCGATGAATGTCCAACAATGATTTTGCTACGCGAACGCGACGTTGGCGCAAACTGTCGCCTATAAGTATTCATCGCGAATCGTCAGGCAGAGAAGGAGTTGCATCTTCGTCGTCGTTAGCGTTAGACTAGGCAGGTCACACTGTTCAAGTATGAACGACAGAGGTAAAGCGATCGTAAGTTATTCTATATCGACTTAAAGTTCACGGCAACAGCCTTGCACAATGCGGTCATCTATTGCGAAGAACTCGCGACGAGGCGTGCTCGAAGGCATTATCCTTTTCTATACTGATGTATCATTGCATGCGCACAATACAATAATCAGCTCATATATATATATATATATATATACGTATGTGTGTCTGTGGTATATGTATGTGTATATATATATATAAATATATATATATATTTGACAATAGAAGGTTTATTGACTGCTATTAATCTCTTCTTGATTCACTGCAAATACAACGCGTCATCCCGATGTGTAAAGTACGTCTCGCTAATATAACAAATCGCGATTTACACGCGGCAGGTAGATGGGAACCTTTTTGAGAAAAAGCGTCGCCCAATTAAATATTATTGTTCAAAGATTCGAAACCGAGCTGCGTCAGAACGGGCGTTAGTCGATTAAAATCTTAATTGAGTAAAGTAATCGGCAAACGGATAGTTATAATTAGTCAATCGTCATACATGTAGTTGTAAATAATTTAATCGACCGATAAACTTAATCATATTTCAGTATATAAAATCCGATAAAATCAAAGTAATCGATTGAAAAAATAATTATATGCAATCGTGATTTACTCCATGTGAATTTTCATCAATTTCAGTCAATCCAAGTGTTTCCATCCCTCGATACTCGACATTAGCTACACATTGAGACTTGAAAAACCATTCCTACAATACTTATAATTCTTCCGCAATTTTGCTATAGTTTTTTTATGCAAAATATCGTGAAAGTATTTCACGGTAGACACAACACTTCACGTACTTCGCACGTACTTCTCCCTAATCAAGAGCGATCACGAGACGATTCCCTTCGCGCATCGAATCATCGCGCCAGGTCGACGACGACAAAATTTCGCAACTTCGAATGTCGCGATTCTTCGGGAACGGCGAGCCGAGTCGCGCTCGTCCTCTCTCGCCCTCTCCCACCCTTCGCTCGGCTCTATCGTAATCGTTACGTTAGCGACTTTATCCCGGGACAATATTGCGATCCTCTCCACCCTCTCTCTTCCCTATCCTCCGATTACGAAAGTGGAACACTTCCTTCTACAGATGCTAATTCCGAGAGACCCGCGAGAGAAGACAGTGTGTGGCTGTTTGTCGTCCGGGACGTACGTGACACGCCGCTCGAAATTGCGGCGATTCCGCGCGCTGTCCGGCTCGCGGTCTCTCGTCACGATCTCCTATGATCGATCTGTTCTCATGAACGTCCCCCCTCGCCGAGCGACCCGTCGCATCGTATCCGGGACGCTGACATTTGTACAATAAACATCCATAAAATGGCTATTGCAACACGCGCGCGCGCGTCGCACCTAAAGCACGGGAAGCCGCGCGAGGAAAGGCCTGGCCGTGTCTGCACCAGCACGTGATTCCCGCTCGTCGTGAGCCACGCTCACGAGATTCACGCCGCCTACGCGGTGTGTCGCTTCTATATGCGGGTACTGCAAGGCCTGCGAGTGCATTTTTGCTAGACGCAGCCGGCGTAAAGGCAGGGTCGACGGGTATGTAGCGGGATCTCCGCGCGACTCTTTCGGGCGCGAGCCGAGTTCAGGCCGCGAGAAATTTGACTGCTTACACAGGGTGCTAAATTTCAAACGTGCAACAGGTAAAAAATCTCGAAAACTATGAGAGATAGTAAAAAAAGCTAAAACACGTGTTCTATGATTTCGAAGGGGAAAGAAAATGACATTATCAGTTTTTTATTTGGAGGGCATTTTCAAGGTCGGTTAAAGGTCAACTTAATTTTTTTTAATGGGAAAGCCCAATTTTTTATTATATCTTCTTTTTCGAGCAATTAATTTTAACAACTTTTGTCTGAAACATTTTCTTATTTGCCTAATATTTTTTTTAAATATTTAAGGAAATCTTGGTAACTTTTCCAACATTTAACTTACGATATCTCGCTAACTCTTCATCGAAAGAACAAATAGTATTGGACTTTTTTACTTTATTTACTATTAAGCATATATTACTTTAATATTGCCCTAACTTTTGTTAACTTATCGACCTTTGGAAATTTCAAAATTATTAAATTAACAAAAGTTAGGGCACTATTATATAGTAATATATTCTTGATAGTAAATAAAGAGGTAGAAAAGTCTAATACTATTTTTTCTTTCGACGAATAGTTAGCGAGATATCGCAAGTTAAAAGTTGAAAAAGTTACCAAGTTTTCCTTAAATATTTCAAAAAGTATTAAGCGAATAAAAAAATGTTTCAGACAAAAGTTGTTAAAATTAATTGCTAGAAAAAGAAGATATAATAATAAATTGGGCTTTCCATTTAAATTAAATTAATTGACCTTCAACTGACCTCGAAATGCCCTCAAAATAAAAAACTGATAATGCCATTCTCTTTCCCCTTCGAAATCATGGAACCCGTGTTTCAGCTTTTTTTAATATCTTTCATAGTTTTCGAGATTTTTTACTTGTTACGTTTGAAATTTAGCATCCTGTATACTTACTTATTAATAATTAATTTCCTCGAACGAGCACATTATTCACGATTACGTACGGCTGATTCATTTTGACTATCAATCCGCCGATTATTTTAGTCGACTGAAATTTTAATCGATGAATGTTCGAGTTTTCGATCGGTCGCGGAGGAAACGGATTCCCCTCGCTAATGAAATATCCGCGCATCAATCGCGACTCGCCGACGCGACGCACGGGCAGCGGTCTCGAGAGAACGCTAGGAACACTTTCCGCATTTATATTGAATATTATGTTACCGCGACAAAGGAATGTCAAATTGAATGAGCTCGATGAGTACGCACTCGTGGAATCGATTATGGCCGCGCGTGCAGCCGATCTTTAACGTTCGCTCTGCGCGCGGATTGTTCCTCATCTCGCACGCTTCTTTTTTTCGCCCGGAGATTCTCCCCTATGCAAATTTTGAGTCTACTCGCAACGCGCACGGATTGACCTTTCTCGTAATTAGAATTGCAATCATTCAGTCACGATTTAGACGCGCGTTTAAAGTGGAATAGAAAGTAGAATCTCCACGTAGCTCGCGATCGAAAAGTCACCGGTTTACAGAATTCGCTTCTTGTTTGAGGATTTACGACTCGTTCGGATCGACTGTTCTACTTAATTGCAAGGCTAAAGTTCGGACAATCGCTTACGTTTAAAATAAAAATAGAAGCAGCGTTGTTTTCTCACAATCAATTCGCAATCGAAGATTCAACGGTAACAGGATTTACTTCTCGTAGTCTAGAAATTTTTGGAAACAACTCTCGTTTAAATTGACCTTTCCGCTTAATTTCCAAACGAAAATCCACTCGCGACTTGAAATCGATGGGGAAATCCAGAGGGAAAATAGGAGACATGAGCGCGCGCGCGCACTCGTGTTTCCGCAAATTGATTTTCCAACGGGATCAGCCTCTCGCGACACAGTTATGTCGCAAATGTGATCTCGCAACCTGAGCTCTAACAGCTGTAACATACAACGTTCACACCTTGGCGCGTACAGAAAATCCACGCCGGTCGCATAGGCGGCCAGGACACACGGCCGGTATAATAACAACAATTCCTGCAACGGCGCGCAGGAGCAGCGGCCGTATCACGTGCCGCACGTGATTCCGCGCGCTTTTACACGTGCCTGGTTATTGCCGATATCGGTCGGGCGGCCGCACGAGGAGTCGGCCGAGAGAAAGAGAGAGCGGGAGAATCGCGCTCCCCGTACACCTTTCCTCGTACGGATTAATGCCATCGAGGGAAAAGTCCGAGAGCGAGTCACGTGCACGTGCCGCCGTCAGCCGCTCGCCTCGAATCACGCGACCGTCCGTCCTGTCAATTAGCGAGGCGCGACGTCTTCCCGGCACCGCCGCGCCGCGCCGCGCCGCGCCGGTCCACGGCAAGGCCGCGACAGAACCCGTTTGCGCCGCCGACGCGATCCATCGGGAATCGCAGTGCCGACCTGTGATCCTCGCGAAAGGGAAAGGGAAGGAGGGAGGGGGAGAGAGAGAGAGAGAGAGAGAGAGAAGAAGAGGGAGGAAAGAGAGGAGAGAAAGTGTTGCTTGATGAATAAGCGTTCTGGGATAAGCGTTTCCTCTAAAACTGACACAAAAAACAGCAAAAATAAAAAAAGAATACGGAAGAAGTAAACGATGAAGAGTGAAAGAGCGTATCGAGAAGCAGAAACGGAAGAGGAGTAACTTGGAGCGAGAACTAACGAGGACGGTAATTAATCATAATTAAGAATTGA